GTCCCACCTGTCTTGCTAACTCAATTCTGTGTGACATCCAAGTGCAATGTCACTCAAGCATCATTATAATAATATTATACTCTAGCATTGATACTAGTATAATGATAATGCTGATAATGACTATAAAACCCACACTCCCACAATATAGCTCTAGGCACTTTACAAGCACTTCATCTTAACACAAAATACATGTGCATGAAGGTGCATACATCCCCCCTTTAGATTAACGCTTACACAAAAGCCGACATTCTTTCAAGTACAATGTATTAGATATCTATAATAACGCAATAGGTGACGATGTGCACATCGCATTATGAGTATAAGAATTCTACCAATATGGAGGACTGAATGACAAGTTGTTATATCATGAGGTAGACTATGGTTTTAAATAGATCTTTAATTTTACATCCCTTGAGTTATATCTAAACGTTGTAGGAGAGAGTTCCAGTCAGAATATTCGAAATGGAGCTAGATGACAGATGAGAATAGGGGAACTTCCTATCCCCTTGCGAGTTTTAGTTTTAGACCTCCCTTTCTGGGTGCTCTCATAAGAAACTGATCTACTGTTCCTAGAAATCTTGGCGGAACATAGATCTACATTTGAATGAGGTTGCTTAAATATTAAAGTGCATTATTGTTAACATAGTATTTCTATGTCATTGGACAGCAGATGTTTGAGCTCTTAGCCACATGCCGGCACACTGTCGATAAGGTTTGGTGCATGAAGCTAAAAACGAATTAGCTCTATGCTGTCGAGAGGTTTGTCTGACGTTATCAGAAAAAGAATAATCAATTGCAGCTAGAATAATTATCTACTTTACTAAAAAAAGAAATAAATTAGAGTACAATGTGTGCTAAGTGGGGTTTTTTTTTTAATCTAGCAGATGTATGTGTTTTTACGTCCTCATCAACACAATTCAGTTCATTTAGGAGACGGGCTTCCGACTCTGCCTGTCAGGCCGTAGGGGCTGAGAGGGATACATCCCAGCTAAAAAAAAAAGAGTGAGATACTGGAAAAAACTGTCCCCGTGGTTTTATGCACCCCGCATAATTTAGCAAAATTTGATCATTTTTTGTCTTATTTCTGATTATTTTCCTTTATAAGTCTTTGTTAAAATTAACAGAATCGCATCGTTTCACATTTTGGGGCTCAGTTTGCATAATTTCATAATTTTT